TATATATGTGTATGTATATTTTGTGTGTATGTATGTTTATGTGTTGTTAATGTGTGTGTATTGTATGTATGTATGTATGTTTGTGTGTGAATGTGTATATATATGTGTGAATGTATATGTGTGTGTTTATATATGTGTGTAAGTGAATGTGTATGTATGTGTGAATGTGTATGTGTGTGTGTTTATGTATGTGTATGTGTATATATGTGAATGTGAATATGTATGTGTATGTATATGTGATTGTATGTGTATATGAATATATGTGTATATGTGTGTGTTTATGTGTATGTGTATGTGTTTGTGAAATGTATATGTGTATGAGTATTTATGTATGTGTATATGTGTATATGTGTGAATGTGTATGTGTGTTTGTATATATGAGTATGTGTATATGAAAATATATGTGTATATATATGTACGTATGTGTATATATATTTGTATATGTGTAATGTATGTGTATGAATGTATGTGTATATAGGTGTATGTGTATGTGAAAATGTATATATGTACGTGTATATATAGTATATAATTTTTTTATATTTTTTTTAAAAATTTTTAAAACATTTGCGACGGGATGCGACGGAAAAAATTCCGTCGCACAGAATTATCCGTCATTTTCCATCGCAAAACGCAGATTTCTTAACAACCGTTATACATTTGCAACAGTGCTTGGCGTTCGTAAGATCACGAACAAACTCTATTCGAGATAGGTAGTCATTGTGTCTTGCTAGAGACCGCCTATGACTTGTATATCCAGAATAGAGATTTCGGGTTATACTGTTATATCGAATGAGCCTACAGAGTCACACACGCAGGGAAGGATGAAACGCACGAGAAAACGACCGAAAAACAAAGACGGAAGGGTCTGGAACAGACGAACCAGAAGTCCGGAACGGACGGTCCGCCAGGTCCAGACTCGACGGTTCACGAATAGTCCGAGACTGTCCGTTCTAAGTGTTGGAACGGACGGTCCGCGTTGATGGCAGACTGTCCGTTCTGGCTTGTCTGGAACGAACAGTCCACGTGAGCAGACCGTCCATTCTGGCTTGCTGGAACGGACGGTCCACGTGTAATTCTGGACCGTCCGTTCCGTGTTTCGGGTTTTTCAGAAATTAGATCGAATTAGGGTTAAATCACCTTATAAGAAGGAGATTAAAACCCTAATCGTTAAAGAGACTTTGAGAGCCGTGTGGTGCAGACTTGGGACAGCTTTTGGTGAGATCCAAAAGATCCAAGAGTTTCCAAGTCTCGTTTTCTCGAAGCATCATGCCGAATAGCAGATTCGGGTCCTAGCAGACAAGTTCCAACCGTTGGAATCCATCCCGAGGTGTGGATACGTGTAGAGGGCGAGGTATTCTTCCTCCCTTTTCGTGATCAGACGAATTCTTCAATTGGTACAGGCCCCAGATCGATTGAGGTAAGCGTTCTTACTTTTCTACGAATCATAGAAGCATGGTTCTAGGGTTTTAATAAATTTTGTTTTTCATCCGCTGGGCAAACCCTAGAATCGATCTCTTAGGAATAGGATTCGCTCATGTGATCCCAGGAAAATCCAACAGTGGTATCAGAGCCTGGTTGCTCTGTTTTGATTTCGTAGAACCCGATCACGCACGTTTTAGGATTTGAATTGTTTGAATCCATGTTTGCTTTGAATTCTATGCATGTTTGATGATTGAATCTATGATAGATTGCATGTTTCATGTTGCATAGAGTGCAGGAGTTCGAATTTTGGGTCCACAGATGAATTCGGATCGGTTTCGGGTCTGAACGGGGCCGAGAATGCGAAAAACGTGATCTGATGACATGACCAAACCTTAGACCATCCGTTCTGGGTTTACCAGACCGGACGGTCCAGGGGTGACGGACTGAGGATAGACCGAAAGGTTTGGACCGTCCGTTCTGAGACAGTGGACCGTCCGTTCACCGGTCTGCAGAAACACGTGGTCCGTCCGTTCTCACACGTAGACCGTCCGTTCTACATCCAGAACGGACGGTCCGAGACCCAGACTCCGACATTTTTCGTTTTCTGATCCGATTGTGCAATCGTTGCTTAATCTGATCAACTATGACTCAAATAGACATGATTTATTCTTATGGATGGTCCATAGTGAATGAATGCATGTAACTTAATCAAAATATTGGATATGCTTGATTGAGTAGGAGCTTCGAGATTGAGATTACATAATCGAATGGATGGTTTATTCGGATTATGTAATACATCTGATCAATGAATAATTGTTGATCCTTGATATGTACAATCGTTGTACAGAAACCGGTTAGATCTAGGAGCTCTACGAGTAAAGCACTTGTCAAGGCCTCGATCGTACGTGTCATGGGCCATGCCAAAGCTGGGTGTGCCGTATATCTTGGTGAGGCAAGATGGAGAAATGGTGGTTCTCATAACTTGAAAGTATATGCTTGATCTAAGTGTGCTTTCGAAAATCCCTTATTTATGTAATGCTAAGCGTATAACTCCCATTACTAGAGCGCCTGTCAAGGCATCAATCGTCCGTAACACGGGTCATGCCAAAGCTAAGCGTGCCGAATGTTGGGTTTTCCTGGGATCTCAAGGGCGAATCTAATTCCTAAGAGATCAGTTCTAGGGTTTGCGCAACGGATGAAATTTTTTTTTTTTGATGAAACCCTAAAACCTATCATGCATGATCTTGTAGAAACGTTAGAACGCTTACCTCAATCGATCCGGGGTCTGTATCAATCGAAGAACGCGTCTGATCACTGTAGGCAGGAAAAATACCTTGCCCTCTACACGTATCCACACGGCGGAAAGGATTCCAACGGTTGGAACTTGTCTGCTAGGACTGAAGAACGCTTTCTTCTTTACGCAAGGGTTTCAGGGTCTGAAAATCGTGCCAAAAGAGTTAGGTTGCGTTCCCATAAGTTTCACCCCTTTAAAACCC